GAGAACCATTGAAAACCTGGTAGCACTGGACACCCGTTTCGTACACCCACGACCACCCTAGAGGTTGAACTCATGACTTGCTTAGAGATGAGAAGTGACCGGAAAGGCAAGCCAAGTCGGATATGATGACAGTTTTTCAACGACGGTAGTGTATGGAAGTTGCGCTATATCGTGAACTGACAGAGTTCATAAAAAGATGGACCAACCAGTAGATCGATAGAAACATGTCGGTGACGAGACATGACAGTCTTGGAATTCGGTCGCTCATGGAACCGAGCATGAACAGCTGACGACTACCATACTAAGACAAAACAGCTGTCCAGTGCCCTTAAATCTTTAATAGTTCTCCAGCTGATGTCATTCCGTGATGAATACTAACTTAGAGTTAATAAGTAAACCCCCATAAATATTATACAAAATATCAAACAAATCACGTAACAGTAGTTCACTGGATTGACTAGTTTATGACATGCGTTCTCAACGTGTTTTTTGATCGATCACAGGTGTGAAGATAAACTTCTACGCCAAGTTTTCATTCTTATTAATAATCTTTTGAATATCTATAGGTTGGTTTTTTTTTTGCATAGAATCCGTTTTTCTGGGGTGACAGTCATGACTAAAGTAGCTCAGTGGTAAAGTTTTTGACTTTAGCATTGAGTAATGCTAACAAGAATGTAATCTGAGTCAATCAATACATCGTATTGACTAACTCCAAGCATATAACAATCAAAAAAAGGCTATATTGAAGCCAGTCAGTAGTCACACAGGTAAATCATCAAAGAAAAAAATAGTTATACAGAAGAGCATTAATTAAAAGTAGCACAAAGAATTCATATAAGTTTTCATCATAAACTAAAGTCTGTCAGAGAACGATTAAAAATAAGGTAGCACGCTAATGATGTTGAGTTATGGTCATGCAATATCACAGATTGAAGAAAGTAGGAAACTGTAGGCCACTGGCTGAATACTAATGTGACAATCTTATGCTCAATCTCTCACGTGGTCGATGGTGTGGACCGCTGGAAGTCCAAAACTAAGGTGAATCAGGTGTAACGTGTGACACTAATCGAAGCTCTTTACTCAAACGTATTCAGCCATATAACTGCTTATGGAGAGTTGTTATCGGAATTGATGACAACTGGTGGTGTCCACCAGGGATGCTCACTGTCAATGTTTCTGTTTAATTTTGTCATAGATGTACGAATTGACATAGCCTGAGGTACATGTGACCACAGGGACATCATCAGTTGGACTTGAGGTATGCAGACGATATTGTTCTGCTTGGTGACGATGCTGACAAAATGCAGGGTCTTCTTAACGCCTCGAGCACAAATATGAGTATGTGTAGCACGCGTCTCACACTTGTCAAATGTAAGATGATGTTCCAGAACTGGTCTGCAACTACATGGAGTTTAGTAATAGGGAATGGAGTGGTGTAATATGTTGATTATTTCACTTACTTGAGGAGTTGCATCATCTGCAACAGGCTGGTTGCTGAAAAAATCTGCACTCGGATACAGAAGGCCTGTTTGGCGTTTGTCAACCTGTGTCATCTCTGACGTCGACTGAGAGATATCGGCCTACCTGCTAAAGTACGAGTACAATGTGTTGCAGTCCATTCTGTCCTGCTATATGGTTGTCAGTCATAGTTGTTGAAAGTAGCAGATTTTCTGCGGCTACAGGTTTTTAACCATAGGTATCTTCGTAACATTGCTCACCACTGCCTGTCTCGACTGTAGTGCTAGAAGAACTTGGATTAACTTGTAATACAGCTCACAGTAGACAGAAATAAGACGTGGGAACACGATCGCACAGGATTATTTCATCGTGTTATTGCAAAACCAAATAGTCCACAGAAACCCTATTAGAACTTCGTAATTCACCATCCTGATTGAAAAAGGATCCCCATCACGCTTCATAGACCTTGCAAACAGAACCTTACCACCGTCCCGAAAATGACACTCTATATGAATCTAAACTTCAAAGGTGATTCTCTCGCTAAAAATCTAAAAAAGAGGATATCAAACGCTCTAAGTCGAACATTCTTTGCACCAACGCTAAGACTAGTATTCTTTTGTCGTCCAACGATTTCTAACAACACAAAGGAGAAACTTCCGCATCTGACAGCTTCTATGTGCATATATCAATTCGCCTGTTCGCATGGAACCATGTATATAAGGTCGTTCGACGCGACTGTTTATCCAAAGGGGTTCGAGGACACCATCTGGCGTGGTTACAAAGAGGTAACAATGGAGTGATAAGGAGCGCTATAATTGAACGTATCGTAGGCACGAATCATACTATCTCAAGAACCTCCTCTTTCAAAGTCATCTACAAAACGAAAAGAGACCTCCCAAATTCTGTAAATCTTCGCATTCTTTGCATCACCGAAGCCGTTACCATCCATATGGAGAAGTCTGAACTGTATATGCAAAAGAATATTGTTCAACTCCTCCTTTCATGGTCTTTGTTTGCAGTCTCCTCCCTAACCCCCCTTTTCTTCTCATCTTTCTGTTTCGACACTATTCACTGCTTAAGTAATTTCTTACTCATTCCCCTGTTGCTATCCTCTACCTCATCACAACTCAGTTTTCACTTATGTTGTCATCTTAGCAAACTTCTTGTCCAAACCTTTTTTTTTTGACTAATATTCACTACTCATCAGTTTATGGTTTTGTGATTTTAATGAGATAGCTCATTTATTGAAACTATATGTATCACCATACTTGACAAACCGTTTTTAGTATGTAGAAGGAAGTGGAAGTGGAGATGGATTGGGCATACACTCAGAAGGCCAACTGGGGACATTACGCGTCAGGCCAGGAACTCGAGTGGAATCCCCATGAGAAGCGACGAGTTGGACGTCCGTGGTAGAGGTGATATGGAGGAGATCGTGTGAGGAGGAAATGAGAGCTACTGGGCTGTCGTGGAGCCACGTTCAAAAGATTTCGGCGAACAGAGTTCACTGGAGACGTGCTACTGAAGCCGTATATTCCATTAGGAACCCAAGGGACTAATAATAATATAATAATATTGTCCAGGAGCACATCTGAACTAGTACTTAACTGGATCTGATTATTTCATAACTTTCTTCCCTTTCATCAGCAACAACCTTCGTGTTCATACACCAGACAGTGGGTTATACCTATTGAGTATGATGGTTATCTGCCTGACCATATCTCATTAGATAGAATGGAGTTATAACCCACTACCCGTAGGTTGAAAGTCAACTGTTCAGAACAAAAGAGCATAGGTTCAAGAATGGATGTTCATAGAAATAATACCGATGTTGTTTATGAAACCGAATACATTTAAACTTTGCCACTTCTATTCAACACAAAAAATGTGTTCAACCTTTTCTTGTCACACCATACTGACTATGGCAGCTTAGATATGCATTTTTGTATGTTGGGTTACCACGTAACCCAATGCTCCGAATTGGTTCTGGAGAAGACAGCTAAATGTGGTTGGATCAAGAAGTGATACCACTTCATGAAGTCTCAGACTGTTGCTTTAGTCCGTGTAGTCAGGTTTCTTGATATATTTAGAAATAATGGCTGAAAACTCTTGAAGATATGACTCTTTCTTTCTCCCTGTTAATTTTAATCCATAACTTTCTGTGCAAGGCACTGAGTCTATCTTACCGTCTGTCTTCGTCTTGTTGCATCACAGCTCAGACAAAAAGGGGTTTGTTGGTGCAGAGTAGTGATTGAAGGTGAAGTGAAAACCTGGGTCACTGCACTGTCTGAACTAGCAATCTCCAGGTCACTAACCCAGTGCTCTACCAAGTTAATTACGAGAACCAGCCGCTGATCGGGTCTCTTTTTTTTGTTTCATGTTTACTAATCATACCGTATTAATATTGCCAGTCTGTTGAACCAAGGGTATTAAAGATAGTCTCATTGGTAAAAAAGATGATGAGCAGAAGTATATATAAACAAATTATTCTCCTTATTGTTAGTTCACTTTTTCGAAATAAATATTATTTATACATCTGCTTAGTAATACCATGGTTCCTAAGATGGCTCTGTGAACATCTAAGCTAACCTGATGTGGTGGTCATCAAGTGTGAGTGTGGAAAAACATTTGGAAGGTGTAGCAGGGAATCGATTAATTACAAAGTATCCATCATCGATCGATGTCATAGTAGTTTGAAACTAATTAGCCTCAAATAAATAACAATCCCCTGATGAATAGTAACTTGCTTCCAGATGGATTAAACAAAGTTCTAATCAAAATTTACGGTCTGTAAAGTCAACCAAGTATGGTGGTCCCCTGAACCGAGAAAAATTCAAAGAAGTGAACCATCACGTTCCAGCTCGACAGCTGAATGGTAGCGTATTCACCGCCAGACCTGTCATTTCTAGGCTCAATCCTATACAAGGTTGTGGGAGCATATCACTGAGGATTACTGTATAAAAAGGATGTAGTTAAGCAATGTCTTCTGATTTTCAATATTTCTTTAGTTGATTTCAGCCCATGATGAAACAAGATATTTTAACTAGAGCACATTGAGAAGCACTACAATGCTTTGATATGGATCTATAACACATAATCATAACTCTTACCGACTAATCAAAATTAAACTTCTCACTAAACATGCTAAAGTTTGAAATGTTGAATTCAAGTCACGTTAAAGCTGTAAGTATTTTCAGTAGTATAGTTTTTAGCCTTGATCGAAGTCAGATGATAAACCGTGTAAAAGTGAGGGTGGTATTGTAAGAATATTGGAAACTCCGCAGCAGTGCACATATACACAACCACACAACACTATAAAGGAACCAGTAGATAAACGTGAAATCTTACGACATTAAAACATAGTCATAAGCTTCATTATTGATTCGCTTCTTGTGATACTGTTAAAGGTAAGAAAGATACGACACTAAGAACCGAAAGTGAATTCAAATTACTTTTGAACATGAATGTAGTAGCCGAATAACTAGATAATATAAATATTCTCAAAACGTCCAGTACAGTTAAAAACGATATTGATAACTAACCCGAGCTTTAGTTGGATGTGGTCCACCTTGAAATTCGACTGTGCCATAAGCGTTTGTGGGCATCTCTTGAGTGTGTGTCTTAACATGCCAACGTTCATTAGACAATTTTAGGTGATAATCACCGGTGGTAGAGAATTCAGGATTAAAATTTGAATTCTGTTGTTTAACGGACTCAATTTGTACACTGGATGGATGTTCATTGAATGTAAGACCACAACTACAACGAGGGCTAAACAAAAATAAAAGATAGGCAGGCAATGAAATAGATAATATGTTTCAGTAAATCGGAATTCGATAATTTGGTTTAAAGTTTATATTGTTCTTATTGATTTCAAGGTAGTATTCATCATGAAATGACATCAGCTGGAGAAGCATTGAAAACCTTAGAACACTGGACAGCTGTTTAGTCCTAGTATGTAACTCTTCAGCAGTATGCACCCACGACTCTGATCTTCCCCTCCCCGAGGGATCAAACTTAGGATCTTCAAGTCTCACAGCGAATGCATTAACCATTCAGCCACTGTATCAGAGTTCAGTGGTCCACAATCTTCTACTTCCGTCAGTTTGTGATATAGTAAGACTATCATCCAAGGTCTTCCAGTTGAAATACGCTTCATTTCCTACTGGTTGACTTCACAGGTCACGGCTCGTCATTAGAACTTCAAGATATTCACCTGGAAGCATGTGGATAATAGCGCTATATCGCGAATTGATAGAAGTAGGAAACTGTAGATCACTGAACTCCAACCTAGTTGGTTGGGTGGTTAACACTTTCACCGCCAAACCCGAAGGAATTGATTTCGGTCCCAGACAAGGTCGTGCGTGCGTACTTCTGTGGAATCTTGTACTAGAATCAAACAGCTGCTTAGTGTTCCCAGGTTTCCGATGGTCCTGTAACTGCTCTCAGTCCAGGATGAATACTACCTTGTAATTTGACCAGTGGAAAGATGATGATAAAACATGCTTTAAATGTTTCCAATCAGTTAATAGTGGAAAATAATTTCATAGACAAATTAAACTTAAACTAAATAATGGCTTCAACAAATACTCATGTGACTGGTCAAGGAACGACTGTGCCATCCAGTGTTGCAGTCAGAGACACTACCAATGAGCTATTCAGGCCGCGATTGACCTCCTGTAGGACTGAACTACACTCGATGCGACCAGAATAGCTCATTAATAGCGTCGCCGGCTACGACACTGGGTGACTCGGACTCAAACCTCACAAGGTATATCGGTTCCCTCAAGATTGAAGGTGCGCCGTGCTGACGAGTGCCAGTAAGCATGACACCTAGGTTCAGGTCTTCCTGTCGATTAACTCCAACCAACCAGCACGTATGTATTTCTATTCACAGGCCCTATTTATAATCATTAAGTGCAAGCTACTCTTTGCTTGCTGCTGATACTATTTATCTTACGTATTACCTTTAAGAACTTGTTGTTATTCAATGGGAATACCCATATCATCTAGGTTTCATGTATGGGAGTGCTCGTTAGCATTGAGAGTCTGTAAATGTGAAGTAGCTGGTGTTTCCATGATAATTCAAACTGGTGTCATTCAGGCATTATCGCTATGCTTTGCAGAGGACTATTGACTCACTGTACGACTGGATTCTGTACGCAAACGGGTCATCCGAAAATGAAGAATACAATTGTTCAATCTTCAATGCTCAGAACTGATCGAAGTCTATCAAGTGACTCCTAGCATCTAACGCCAAAATGCAATCCATTGCATTGTTGTATCGCCTAGGTTAGTGGTTAGATTGCAAACTTGATAGATAGATTACAATCAGTACTAAGCATCTGTACAAACTGACAGCTAAATTAGTTGCTAGTTTAATCTTGAGATTATTGAAGATTACTTTACAACCACCTTAGCTAGTTAACAAAAGATAAGACTTTGATTATGGTTCCAGGTAGGAACAACATCACTGGGGTGCAGGTACATCCAGCTGACGAGTCCCAAATAGGACGAAATGCGCTCATGGATTTTCACGCTAGCCATAACCAACCAATTTATCATAATTAACAATCAGGCAATACCGAGGTATCCACATAGGAACCCATATGCCAATAGAGGTGGAACAATTCAATCCAATGAAACAACGGAGAACCACAAGTATACATCAACAAATAGTAATAACTACTAGCCGTTGTAAAAGAGGTGACTATCATTCCTCCTTGGCATAGTGGATAATGCCTTGGCGTTTGAAGCGATGGGTACGAGGTTCAAGTCCCAGTGGGAACAACATCACTGGGGTGCAGGTACATCCAGCTGACGAGTCCCAAACAGGACGAAATGCGCCTCGTGGATTTTTCTGCTAGCCAAAACCAACCGATTTATTATAAATTCTTATTTGTTTAAGAAAGTTATTCCCATTTCTATTTAAAAATATGTGACAAAAAAAACCAAGAAGTGACAAAAGAAAGTAGCAAAAAAGGAAGTCACCGGACTAGGTCAGATGAGTTGATAAACAAAAAGAAAATGGAAACGTATTTACATTTTCATCAATGATGAATTATTTGTACAAATTTCGTGTGATACGCTAATGTAAATTATTCCTTCAATTTACTTGTCAAGCATAAAAAATAACCATCAAGATAGTATTGAATCGGTGACTTGTAATCAGGTGATAAGTGAATGAATATAGTATTTTATTAAGAATAAACTTATTAAGAAATAACAGAATATATAAGGATTAGAGTAAAGAAGGTTAATTTCTCGAAAATTCAGAACATAAGATATGGAAAGGATGTGAAAAAACAGTTGATAAAAACGTAGACTGATGCTGGCTGGCTTTGTTCTCTATTTTCTAGAATTTAAGTTCACTGAAAGGATACATGATGATAAACATAGTAGTACTGACTGGATCTAACTGAACACTCTAATTACGGATACCAGATTCCTTGGTTGATTATATTCCACGAAATAATTAATGTCACAACTGTCGCATCTACTGTTCAGGTAAATTACATAGTAATAGTGTTCGAAACAGTGAATCTTCTATCCCGATCTAGACAATAAGCTATACTTCTGAATGCTATCGCAGACACACCAAGACATCAGGAAAAAACTCATCCGACATATATTGATGCATTCAATGGCATAAATTCTTCTTCTGAACCCATTATTGAGTGAACTTATTACGAAAAGGTACTAGGCACTCAGATTTTTCTGAGGAGTATTATCGAAAAACTATATTACATGTTTGCCACCGAAATATGACCTCTAGTAAAGAAGTGAAGCGTCATTGATTGCTAATAGAGACCGATCGATTTGGTCCAATTAATGGAGGGCAATTACAAGTAATAATATCAGAATCATACCCATCGTTAAGGAGTGGTTATCGTGATTCACTGGATAACGCTTTACTATTTGAAGGGACCAGTTGTGGATTCGATTCTTAGCGGGAATAACATCACTCACTGGGAGGTGGGTATATCCAGCTGACGAATCATAAGTAGGACGAAATAGGCATCATGGATCTCATTGCTAGCCACTAACCATCATTACTTTCAAAATGAAATTAGCTTTGTCGGCTTCAGGATCTGATAGATCCAATTAAGCAAAGTAACCTAATCTACAAAATCCCAAGCAATGACTTGTTAAGTCAATTACATAGGTCAAACTAACCGGTCGGAGTCACTTAGAGTAGAGAAACAGGAATCTAGTCAAATATGGAATGAAAGACCTCAATGCATGCATTAACATACAACCAAGCGATCAATATACTTAAGTCAATTATAATAAGGTGGAGAAAGAGATTGATTACTGAGTCATTGTTTATCGAATCAACACCCAAGATATACAAAAACGAAGAATATGAAGTCACAAGATTATAAAATCGACTGTTGAAAGTGGTGTGATTACATTGATATGATGATGAGCAATAATTTATGCTCAGAAAGTCATCACTGTGTGCTGCATATCAAATAAACAAAGTTAAAATGAGCAGCAAGAGTAGTAATCACCATACTGAGGAACTTAATGCTATAGGATTACGCAAGTAGGTCGGTCATACGATAAAAAAGCAAAACAAACTCAGGTAGTTAGGAAAATTCGATCTGAACAAGAAATGATGTTTCAAGTTGATATTCATCATAGAATGATATGAGTCGGAGGAACATTGGATAGTTATTTAGTCCTAGTATGGGACTCCTCAGTAGTGCTCACCCACGGCCCCACCCCACCAGGGATCGAAACCACAACCTTCAAGTTCCATGGCCAGTACGTTACCATTGAGCCACTGGGTCAGAATCGAACGGTCCATATTTCCAACTTCTGTCAGTTCATGACATAGCGCAACCAATGTCATGGTCGAGTATTTGTGAGAAGTCTTGACCAGTGGGGCAAACCAGGTGGCCGTGAGGACAAATACTCAACGGTGACATTGGGTGATGGTCGCGTTATGTCGTGAACTGACAGAAATTGGAAAAATAGACTGCTGGGTCTCGACCCAGTAGCTCAATGGTAACGCGCTGGTCAAGTGACCTGAAGGTTGTGGGTTCAAACCCTGGTGGGGCGGGGTCGTGGGTGAGCGCTGCTGAGGAGGCCCATACTGGGACGAAACAGCTGTCCAGGGCCCCTAGGTCCCCAGTGTTCCCCCAAATGATGTCATTCTACAATGAATACCAGCTCGAAATATCTCTAAATCCCCACAAACCCCCCAAATTCAATCAAAAAAGGATGCAACTAAATAAGAATGAAGGAATAAACACCTAAGGTTGGTAAATGGTGATGTAATCAAATAACAGACAAGAAGGGTTGCCAATGTAGACAGAGGTTGACTATAGCTGCCTTATGAACACATGGATCAGGTTTCAAGTGCTAAATCCTTATGGCTTCTGTAAACCTCAATAGAATTGAGCTTCTTTGTTTGTTTGCTGTCTTGAAGGAATTGAAAGTGTCTGCTTGATGTCCACTATCAGTCAGATGCAGAATGATTGCACTGTTGAAACTGTTACCTACTTTCAGTCATCGGCTCTTCGGAATGTGTTCAGAAAATTCAAGTAACAAGTAAATTGATATATGTAGTTGGAGGTAACATAGAGGGGGTATCTGCCGACTTTCGACTGGATTAAACAGCCCAGTGTTTGGCTGTAAGGAAAGTTCTAGCTAGTATCGTCTTCAATCGTCTGCTAATAGCTACTGCAATATTAACAAAGGTGATGATATTGCAGGAAGTTTATCAATGAGATAATGAGATGGCAATACACCTCCTGTAGGACTATTTACACAAAGTAGTGACCAAATAATTACAAATAATAATAATTATATATATATATATATATATATATATATATATATATAATTGATGGATACTGACTGGCAGCGGAATCCAGTAGCATGTTTCTCCCTACTTAGAGCACATCAGCTGGATGCACCTACCTCCCAGTGGGTATAGTTCCTACTAAGCCTAATGGATAACGTTCTGGCGTTTGAAGTGATCGATCCCGAGTTCAAGTCTTAGTTGGAACGACATCGCTCAATGCAAGTCAGGTACACCCAACTGACGAGTCCCAAGTAGGACAAAACGCACATCCAGAATTCCGCTCATAGTCTCTACCCATCAATAGTATAAAATCGAAAGACAGATAATATTCAGACATCCACGTAAGAGCCCGTATACCAATACAGACTGATCGAATTCGATCCAACCAACAACGGGATATTACAAGCAACAAATTTATATATATATATATATATATATATATATATATATATATTGAATGAATAGATCAGCCATGTTTATGGGATGTTCCATTGAATCCTATTTGTGTTGAGTTACGCTCAGGAACTCAATCGGCAATATACCACCAGTCTAATGGCCAGGGTATACAATATTAAGCTTTTTAAGTCAAAAAGAGATTATAGATGTTTGAGAAATACATATATCGTCCACAGTATGAACAAGGATAAGAACTCTCAGTCAATTTCAAAACTTTCAGCAACAGTCAAAAAAGTGACACAATCGAACAAGAAACAGGAACAGTTTCACAGAAGATAATCAAGTAAATGAAGTACACGTTCTGTCAGAATAACAATTTATTTTCTGATCTATTTTTATAGCTAGCTATGAATGAAGAGGGTTGTTGTTTAACAGTCCATTTGTTTTTAAAGCCACTTAGATACACGTTCTACCATCCTCAGCTGCATGGCTCGATCACTCCTCCCTATATATGTATGACACAAGTAGAAGATGACCCTTATCATCTATAACTGAACATGTTTATAGAAACGGGTCACAGAATTATTATTCAAACAGCTTTCAAAGTCTTATATCGAAAGAGTAATGGATGCATACTGAGATTTGTGGGAGTGATAGCCATAGGCAATTTGAAACCATCCACCTTTATGTGTACAAGAAGAACATCAATTCTCATTCATGATGTTCAAAATAATGTATCTCCTTGAATATATAGCGCCATCATTTTTAACAAAAAAACATAAGTCACTTATCAATGAAGCAACAGTTTCACAGAATATATAGATGAGACATGTGAACTGTATAAAATAGGCATGAGCCCTTGACGCAATAAGTTTAAAATTTTCTACTGCGTCTCCAAATACAGTCTACGAATTCCAGTGTTCAAAACTTAGACCATCTTTTAAATCTACAACTAAGTAAATTCAGAGAATGACTCTAAAGTAACCCCTAAAATGATCAGTAAGCTGCTTTATTCGATGAAAAAACTACCTTACTAGCTGAAATAAACAAGACATACTGATTACTTTATTAGTTTGTGGATTTTTCTAGACAAGTAATCCCAAGATTGAAAAAGGCGCTAGTCAATGAACTGTTTTGCACCTTATCTCATCTAAAAAAAGGAAGAGATATCAAGAAGTTAAACCAACGTATATCAAGGATTTTAAGGTTGATCTTTGAGCGACTTTAAACGCCACCGTAGCAACCCTACCCTGTAAAACTAATCCAACCGTTTAAGAAACTTCAAAACACCAACAAAATATAAAAAATCAAAACAAAATCTATCACCCATGATAGTCCTGATTGCAGTTGACTGCATTGGACTGGATCATGCAACAAACAGTGAGGAGTGAGAAGAGGGGGATACACTGGACAACGGAAAAGAAACTACAAGACTTGGATTTCGCCACCCATGACTTGTGTCTAATATCTGGGGGCACAAACATGAAGATGTACAGACTAAAACTAACAAGTTGACAGAAGAGGCAAGGCTAGGCAGCGAAGATAGAACTTTAAGTGAACGTAGAGAAGACAGAGGTAGAGGTGATGAAGATACCCAAACAACAACACCACCACCACCAACAACAACAACAACAACAACAATCTCCAATCAGCAACAACGGGAGAAACTTGAAGGAAGTAGCCTCTTTCACCTACACCTATTTAGGCAGGCAGCACTGTTTCAACTACAGGTGGCATAGGCACAGGCACAGGTACAGACGAGAACGTCAAAGCCACACAGGATTGGAAAGGCAGCAAGACAGGCGTTCATTAACCTGAAACCAGTGTGGAGATCGAATGCACTGGACTGCACTACACTGCACTCAGCATAAAGCGTGAGCAACATCCAAATACGGATTTTCAACACCAACCTCAGTCAATTCAGTGCTTCCATGTGATGGTTGAGAGACTTGGCGCGTCACGGAAGGCATTTCCAACAAACTACACACATTCATCAACAACTGCCACCTACACTCACTCGTTACTGAATCTCAGATGAGATGGCCAGAATAACAGGAATAAGCAAGAAGGAACTCTGGCTGGCTGGTTGGCCGGCTGGCAACGAATCAACGAAGCAAGAGCCTATCGCTCAACAACTATGCAGAAGGAAGTGGAAGTGGAGGAGTTGGATTGGGCATACAGTGAGAAAACCATTCGGGGACATTAGGCACCATATCAGGATATCGAGTGGAATCCAGATGGGAAACGACGAGTTGGGTGTCCGAGGTGAGGGTGACATGGAGGAGATGGTGTGAGGAAGAAATGAGAAGTTGTTGGCAGTCGTGGAGCCAAGTTCAAGAGATTGTAGAGAAGAGAGTGTAATGGAGACGTGCTACCTATCTAATTTGCTTTAACTACACGCAAAAACTGCTTTTACTGTACCAATAAAGCTTTTTTTTGGCATCCAGAAGAAAGTTAATGCCAGTGTAGGTGATTAAGAACACACGTGGAAATATCTAGCACCAATCATGTAATATCCACTAAATCATGAAATACAGACAATAACTTACAAAACCTATAGGTAAACATCAAATAAATATTTAAGAGAAATTATATTACAACTACTCACATGATATATACCTAAAATATGCTTACTTTGATTTAGATTGACGAGCCAAAACAAATTTAGCGCATTCCAAACATACAATATTCTGTTCAATCCACGGTACCTAATAGAAAATTTTTGTTGTTGAAAAATTGACACTTGGTAAACAACATTAACAACAACAACAACCATACTCTTACTTACATCTCATGATTACTAATCGTGTATAACATCTTATAGATTACCTTGAACTATATAATAACAATCAAAGTGGATTACAATAGTGATTTGATTAACTTACTGACAATATTTCAAAATGTTATATCCACTTTATTAAATGCCTAGAAATGTTTCATTCTCTTCACAATGACTATGAAATGAAAATGGAATGTATGTTTGTTTGCTACAAAATACCAGTTATGATATAAACCATTCTATTGACTTTGTCTAATTGCATAGAGATTAGTTAATCAAAAAGAATTTTTAATAGGCAAAAAATATTCTTTTTTATTTACATATTAAACATAAACTACTATTTTATTTATTTATTTATTAAATCAATAAGGCTAAATAATTGAACAATGGAGAAATTAATTAACAACACATAAGAATTTTCGATTCGGCTTGTTCCAGTATCACAATATCTATAAAACAGATTTTCAAAAGATTTATTAATAAGTATATACATTTTGAATGTCATATCGAGTAAAACTACTATAACTGTAATAATAAAGAAATAGATGAAGAACGAAGAGGAGAAGAAATTCTTGAAAAATAAATTGAAATCACTAAAAACAATATTATCACATTTCATTATTGTCTGTTCATTTGAATTGTCAAAATTATCGCTGGTACCAATTCGATCACGGTCAAGATGTTCATCTTACCTTCAATTATAACCCAGTACAAATACTAGTCTGCCAAACTACGGTTATCTTAGATAATTATTATTTTATTATTATTTGTCCCTTGGGTTCTTAGTGTAACACAGGGCTTCAGTAGCACGTCTCCATTCCACTCTCTTCTCTACAATCTCTTGAACCTGGCTCCAAGACTGCCAACAACCTCTCATTTCTTCCTCACACCATCTCCTCCATGTTACCCTCACCTCCCACGCCAAACTCGTCATTTCCCATCTCCGTTCCAATCAAGTGGCTGCCCTGATGCGTGATGTCCCCAGTCGGCCTTCACAGTCCATGCCCAATCCATCTCCACTTCTACTTCCTTCCAGTGTATATTTCTTCAGCGATAGATTCTTACTTCGTTGGTTCATCACCAGCCAACCAGCCAGCCAGAGTTCCTTCTTGCTTATTCCTGTTATTCTGGCCATCTCATCTGAGATTCAGTAACGAGTGAGTGTAGGTGGCAGTTGTTGATGAATGTGTGTAGTTTGTTGGAAATGCCTTTCATAACGCACCAAGTCTCTCAACCATCACATGGAAGCACTGACTTGACTGAGGTTGGTGTTGAAAATCTGGATCCGTATTTGGATGTTGTTGACGCTTTATGCTGAGTGCAGTGTAGTGCAGTCCAGTGCATTCGATCTCCACACTGGTTTCAGGTAATTGAACGCCTATCTTGCTGTCTTTCCGATCCTATGTGGCTTTGACGTTCTCGTCTGTACCTGTGCCTGTGCCTATGCCACCTGTAGTTGAAACAGTGCTGCCTGCCTAAATAGGTGTAGGTGAAAGAGGCTACTTCCTTCAAGTTCCTCCCGTTGATCACGACTGGAGCTTCTTGTTCTTGCTGGTGGTAGTGTTGTTTGGGTATCTTCATCACCTCTACCTCTGTCTTCTCTACGTTCACTTGAAGACCCGTCTTCGCTTCCCTGCCCTGTCCAGCCTCTTCTGTCAACTTGTTAGTTTTCGTCTGTAGATCTTCAAGTTCGTGCCACATCAGACACAAGTCATCACTGGCGAAATTCAAATCTTCTAGGTTCTTTTCCGTGGTCCAGCGTATCCCCATCTTCTCGCTCCTCATTATTTGTTGCATGATCCAGTCCACCACAATCAGGAATATCATGGGTGATAGTAGATAGCCTTGTTACACTCCTGTCTCCTGTCTTCACTTCAAAGACATCAATGAGCTTCCCATTGTGAATTACTTGGCATGTGGCGTCTTCATATGGTTGTTGAGTGGGGTTGATAAAGGTTTGTGGTATTCCGTAGTGTTGAAGCAACTGCCTGCCAGATTACTTCTCAGTCGACGCTGTCAAAGGCCTTTTCGAAGTCGATGAAGTTGAGGTTGAGTTCACTGACATTCTATGCTGTGTTGCATGATGAAGCGTAGCGTAGTGTTTCAATTTGATCCTCATATGATTTGTACTTCCTGAATCCAGCTTGTTCCGATCGTAGTTTTGAATCCAGAGCATCATTTAGTCTCTCCAGGATGATGCGGCTTAATATTTTGCTTGGGGTGGACAGGAGAGTGATTCCGCACCAGTTCTTGCAAAGACGTCTATCTCAGATGGTCAAATCATAATTAATGGATAGTGTTTCCGATATAATGAATATGAACAACAAATTATATCCGAAACGTTATCCAGTAAATCAAACTGTTTAATTTTGTGACAGTTTTAATGAACAGACTTAATTAGAACTCTTATTGGAAGATGACTGATAATGAGATGAAAATCTGGGTCACAGCGGGATTCGAACTAGTGACTAGCAGGTTTTGGTCCAGTGCTTTACCAACTGAGCTTCGATACCCGACTCCTGACCAGATTTTTATTTCACTCCAATCACCAAGGATTTTTCATACCTACCATGTGAATTGGTGACAAGTTATTACTGCTTAACTGTACTCATTCTGACTACTGAATCAGGACTTTTCATCCCAATCTAAATCTACTTGAACTAGAGGTGAGTATCATATTGATTGTCATTTTGACTATCTGAGAAGATGGTCGTGGTTTTGTAGACTACGATTGATACTGGGTGATGACTAAAAGTGAAATGAAAATCATGGGCCACTTTGAAATCCAAGCCAGTAACTACAAGGTTTCGGCCCGATGTTGTACCAATGAAACCCCGTGGTCGCTAGTTCGAATCCCACCCTCACCTAAATTTCCATTTCACCTTTAATCATCACTTAGTATCGATACTAGTCTGCCAAACGATGCCTATCTTCTTAGATGGTCAAAATGATAAAATGGAATTACAATCTAATCACAGTGCCCAAGTTTCACTCCTATATATTAATATTTTCACACCACTAGTAAAGTTGTAAGAAACTTATCAATAGCTCGTTGTTTCAATATAGATTAGACGGAAAATGTTCTTGTGTTTTTAATTTCCATTAGGTATACTTCTTAGAAAATTATTCAACTGAAGTGCTGGAGTTTCGTACTATTGTCTTTATAAACTTTTTAATTTGATAGGGAAATTTTACACACCGTCATATCAAGTCTGAAGATGAATTTCTTTACCACACTTCTATAAGCTGATCAGTTAATAACAAAGTTTTCTAGCATAGATGTTTACGGATTTTCGAACTAATAAATTTAACTTCATAGTGTAAGCATTCCAGTAGGCTTTTTATGTACCAATCAATCAATCAATCAATACCATCATAGGACCAGGCATTAACTGTGTAACCCTCCGAGTTGCCACACCTCATATCAGTAAATCAAGTAGAATGGTAGTGAGGTGAAAGAGAAAGATAAGGAAATTCAATTAAAAGAAATATAAAGTACAAGAAGAAAGGAAGGAAGAGTGACAAAATGGTGAGATTCTGTATAGTGTAGTTGAGATGAGGATAATGTGTGTGTGTGTATACATCTGCGCCACTGACATCGGTTCTGAGACATATTACCCAGAGTCAGTCTCCAACCACCGGTTCCTCTTGTCCCGCCGACCCCAACCACCCAGTTTGCATCGCCCCACATGGCTCAAACCAACAGTCAGACACCTCATACATTGTTGCCATGTTTTAGTCTTTTCCAGCCTGGACCTACTTCGGCCAACATTGCATGACGAAGCAATCGGTGAATGGGCATACGTAATACGTGCCCCAACCATCTCAATCGATGAAGGTTCATAACCTCATCTACTGATTTACCTCTTCTCCCTAAAACTCTACACCGACTTCTGCGTTACTCACTCACGTGGTGACACCAAGGAATACGGCTTATGCTACCAAAGCAACGGTGGTCGAACACTTCAACCCTTATCATCTCTTTCACCTTCAATGGCCATGTTTCACATCCATACAGTAGAACAGAGCGGACTGCTGTGCAAGTGCAGTACACACTATCCTTAATAGACAATCGGATATCACGGCGGCATCATAGGTGGCGTAAATTGGCAAAAGCCAATTGAGCCTTTTGCATTCGTGCAGAGATTTCAACCGCAACCAACCCGCCAGGGTTGATCCTACTTCCCAGGTAAGTGAAGTGGTTGACACACTCAACCACTTCACTCTCTATTGTTAGCCGAGGTACTGCTGAAGACCAGTCCTGGAGCAAAGATTTGCAATTGGGTGGTGAGGACTGCATCCCAAACATTTTCAAATTCCCACTCAAAGTGTTCAGAAGACTCTGCATCTCATCAGTCAGCGTCTTCACCTAACAGGACTGACTATGTCATCTGCATATTCTAGATCTAAAGAAAATTCACCTGTGATTGGGTCAACGTCTGTGTAATTAGGTGATGAGAGGGAAACCTCCATAAGAATATCTATGATGAAAATGAATAAAAACGGAGACAGTGGGCATCCTTGACAGACACCACTCGATGAGCATAGCTCCTTTTGTCTTTGTCCTTTTATCTTCTCAGAATGACACGAATGACACTTTGTTTTGATACCAATTGGAGCAGGTGAATTTAGTAAGAAGTGGACACTGTTGAAAACTATCACCTATGAACAGGCTTTATGAAAAAGAAGAAGCATACAGTCAATATGAAGTTAGATGTCATCAAAAAGTAGAAATGACTAGAGGTTATGTCACAACAAGGATAAACTAAGTGGTAAGAAAGATGTACATATATTTTGATATTAAATATCTTATTGACTATTTGTATAATATTGTATATTTGTGTACAATATTATACTATCATGTAATTTTGTTTAGTATAGCCATTTATTGACATACTTGTTATTCTCCGTTGTCTTGTTGGATCGAATTGTTCGACTTCCATTGGCATATGGGCTCCTATGTGGATACCTCGATATCACCTGATTGTTAATTATGATAAGTTGGTTGGTTGTGGCTAGCAGAAGAACCCATGATGCGCGTTTCGTCCTATTTGGGACTAGTCAGCTGGATGTACCTGCACCCCAGTGATGTTGTCCCCACTGGGACTCGAACCTCGGACCCATCGTTTCAAACGCCAAGGCATTATCCACTATGCGACGGAGTGGCTATCGTTCCGTTGTTTATCTAACTATAGGACTAATTATGTCACAACAACTGATCACCAGGACGATATTTTCATACTTTCAGTGCCAAAATATGAACAAAATATGCTATATCCTATCATGAAAATAATACACTGTTAAAATAAAATACACTTCTTAAATGTTGACGATGCTTAACGTCTAACATTTTCAACTTTAAATTTCCTGTTATTGAATCGATATATAAATGCTTCTACATATACCAGTGTTTCTCTTTACAGTGTTATTTACCTTAACTTTCCCATGTAAACACCACAAACTGATTTCAGTTAATGAACCACTGAAAACTTGAGAGTGCCGTACAACTGCTTCATCCTAATATGGGACACCTCACGACTATGCCCCCTTTCTCCTCGAGGGATCGAACTCAGGATCTTCAGGTTTCACGACGAACGTGCTAACCATTCAGGCACTGTATCGAAGTACAATGATCCACAGTTTCTTACTTCTTTTAGTTTGTGATATCGTACAACTGTCATACAGGGTCTTCAGTTGACATCTGCTTCACTTCCGACTGATTGATTTCACAGGTTATGGTTTCTCATTAAAACTTTAAGATATTCATCTTGAAGCATACTACTAATGAGTACTGTACAGTAATGTTGTTTGAGATTCATCACTAACTGATATCAGTTGAGGGAACCGTTAGAAACATAGGAACACTGAATAGCTGTTTCGTTCAAGTATGAGACTTCTCAATCCATGATGAATACAATCTTAAAAACAAAATCTCTATAAACGTCAACTAGATTATCTACTTAGCTGCTTAACGCTAAATTTCATTCAGACCAAGTTGAAAGGAAATTGAAAGTTAACCATCCACTAAAGAAAGTGTAGTATCATAATACAATAATGCAATGTAATAGATTTCACTGGTTGATTTTTAGTTGGATTACTTCATTTCCATATTCATCGAAAAATAAATTTTAATTGGAATAACTGGTGAATAAATTTAATTTTTTTTTAATAAATGAGAAAATATATACTTACATTTTTAGAGTGTAAATTAATTAATGAATGATCAAAATCTAAACAGTTTAAGCATATGACCTTTCATATGACAATGTGCATGACTTCTACATGAAACCAGTGGCTAATATTGTTATTATTATTACTATTTTGAAACATTCATGTGTATATATATGCTCCAAGGAAAGGAAAACAATAGCCTATATTTCATGTAGCCCAATGTAAGCCACCTAAATGATGCAGTAGTTGGCATATGGGCTCCTATACGGATGCCACGATATTGTCTGAATGATAATGCCTTCATGGCATAGTGGATAACGCCTTGATGTTTGAAGTGACAGGTGAAAGGTTCGAGTCTCAGTGGGAACAATACCACTCACTGAGGTGTGCGTACATTCAGTTGAAGAGTCCTAAATAGAACGAAACGAGCGTCCTGGATTTCTCTGCTTTCAACAACCAAATAAATTACGATAATCGTACTACCGAACCTAATGTGAATTTGTCCATTATGTGATGTCAATTTCTCAAGAATGGTTCTATCTTGACTGTTGACAGAGCTGTAAGGGCGGTTGACAAATCCCGGCTACCCACACCGTGGAAGACTGTTTCTTCTTAAGGTACCTGACATAGATTTGTATGACTGCAGAGCCGTCAGACATCTGCTTGAGGCCTGTCACACACAGGCTTTTGTGTATAATTGTTTTCAACGATTGTTGTTTCGAGGCCGGATGGTCGAAAAGAAACGACAAATGAACCAACACCACCAGCCCACCAGACCGTGAGGCATGGTGGAATATGTTATCGTTAGGGCCCACCTTTTCTAACCCTATCCCTTCCACTGAGAAGGCAGCATCAGCATGGCACTGCTGGTCGTCCAGGGGGAAACACCTTACTGCTGTCCCACTCCATCCAGCTAGCAGCAGTGCGACTTCACCCTCAGACCCTCACATCAATAGTATAGTAATTTACATCACAACGGTAACTGATTTTCGTCTAACCGCTATCCAACAGACCTTTCTGGTTTGGTAGGACATCAAGGTAACGAGTGTTCGACCAGCGTAGCTCGTTGGGTCATTGTGATATGCAAGCCCGACCACCATGTCAAAGTAGCAGCTACCGATCGGGTTATGTGGTGATGAAGGCTAGGACTTCAAAAAGAAATTAGTAAACACCAGGATTCAAGACATGTCACATATCTTTTCTTCGTAGTAAGAACAACCAACTCACTTATAGGATTCAAAAGGCGATTAGATTTCAAATTCGCCTTGATTGCCAACTAAACAGTTTTATAGGATCAACTGCATAACTAAATCCTTTCTTCTAAAAGGCAGCAGCTGGCTAGTCAATAATTCCATTACATAAAAAAATAGCCATAATGATCGAACTCAACTTTTTAGGTAAGATTAGTGAGTGAAGCTTGCATTAAACGTGAACTATGGCTACATTCCCATTAAGTGCTTATGGATTAGCATTCAGGTAAGATCATTTTTGTTACTGCCATCTGGCACCAATCCAGAAAGTTTAACTGCTAAAAGAGTAATAGTTCTCTACATTTTCCGACATTATCAGTAAAAATCAACTTGTTTCTAAAGCTCAGGATAAAAGTAACAGAGGAAGGGAGAGACAGAGTAGCTGGAATACACATGAATATAAAAAGATTTATCATATATCCTTTATAGATATTTTGAAAGATATTGATATAATTTTCTAACAAGGGGTTTTCTACCTAAGATTTATCAACTTTAAATTGATGGTAGCTTGTTTACATGATCTAGAAAACAGGCATCACTCAATTCTGACGTTATCAGTAATAAGCCCCTATGCTTTAATGACGAATGGCGCTTCCGTAGGTCATTTACATTCTGTCACTACTTACACATGTTAATTCAAAGTTGTCATGAAATTTAACAAATTTAGGCATTATTGATAGAGAGTGGCTAGCAGTTGAATCCAGGATACGTGTTTCGTCTCACTCTGGACGCATCGACTGGATGTACCTGACTCCTGATGAGCATTGTCCCCACCAGGATTCGGAATCGGGACGGGTCACTTCAAACGCTACAGTGTTATCCACTAGACCACCGAATCACTGGGAGGTGGGTACATCCAGCTGACGAGTCCCAAGTAGGATGAAAAACGCTTCTTGGATTCCACTGCTAGCTACTCTCCATCATTAATATCTTATTAAAATAAGGGCAATATCAAGACATCCGCGTAGAAGCCCGTTTGACAATTTGGTCAACTCGACAACAGGATAGTACAAGCAACAACATTATGTCTTTAGACATAGCCATCTTGGTTTATTTAAACACACTGCTAAGATATATCTTCCAAGCTTAAAGCTAAAATGTTCAGTTTATGACTTTTAAAATAGTTTACACAGTTTACTAATCAAATATCTGAGTTCTGCGGCTAAAGGTAGTTTGTAAGCCAACAGGAACACAAACTTTCTTTGAAGATATATAATGAAATCAGTGTGACAAAAAGAAAAATTTCAGACATAACTTTAGAATGATGAATTATCCATAAAATAAATTAAACAGTTGAGAATTTTAAGTGTTGAAGTACTATGACAGATTAGAAGTTGGCACCACTTTTTAGCATTTTCATTAATCAACACAGAACTATTGCTGACAGAAGATATCTAATTTTAAGTATTCAGTTTGTATGGATTACTCCATTAGGTAAATTATTATGCGGTTCTCATAAGGTTTAACTAATCATAATTTCAAGCACCAAATATACACAGAAACAAAGGTGTATGGTTTAGATAGCTGGACTAAAAGTTCAACTATGTATTTTTATATTCATAAAACAAAATATTTCATTCAATAAAACTTACGGGTTTCAAACTGGATTTCGATGATGACGAAGAAGAGGAAGAAGAAGCACCCGAAGATCGAGATGATTTGTCAGATTTATTGCGAAACACACTTCCAACTGTATGCTTCTTACGACCCATGACTTTTTGACTATACGTTAAATCATATATTTCAAAAATATCCTGTAGGAATGTGCTATCAGTTTACTGCTCACAATCACTTAAAGGCACTTTAGTCGAAATTTTAATGTTTATCCAGCTGGTGAAAAATAGCTTCGATCCACTTCAGGACTATTGCCAACAGATATCCGACGTAAGGAGACCAAGATATAAGAGGTAGACAACGTAAGATATCCCATCTAATGTGACTGATTGTACTGAAAATTTGGCTTATGAATACGTCTTGTCTTGTAGATCACAAATTCTTTGACCAACAAAACAAGTTTATATCTTTTTTGAAAAAGAAATTAGAGCTAAAAGAATAGTAAAGTATTTTTTATATATGATGTAGTTAAACAAGATAATAATAATGTCGAATGACTTCAGTAAAATGCAAATTCAAGGTTCCAAAACTAAGCATATTTGCATTCATGGAAAGAGAATACCAAAGATATGTCATTGAACAAGACATAAAAATCCCTCGCAAACTGCATAGCAATTTATACACGTTGCTGTTATCTTATGGCTCTTTGATGGCTTTCAGAAATGATAAATCATATTTATGATCTACAGTAATCAGTAGTATCAATCATTATATAAATAAGTCTTCATATAGTCTCAGGATATTCAGAAAATCAAAACATTTATGAATTCAACTGCTCCTGTGGAGCTATTTACATTGGGCGTACAATGAGGTAGGTGCATCGTTGAATTTCTGAGCACTACCCATTATGATTGAGCAAGGAACAGATTAGAACAATAAAGAGTTCCATACTTGGACACCTAGTTGACACAGGACATCAAGTGGTTACTGGGAAAGCCTTCAAAATCATCCATCAGATTCCAGTTAATTTACCACATGAATTACTCACTCGCTTACTTCCCATAGCAGAGGTGATTGCAATCCACCTTCACAAACCTGATCCCTTTGTATCTAAAAGGAATTTGTTCGACCACTTTCATTACTATGATGTAACTTCTAGTATTACTTTGTACACCTCTTCCTTATCTTGTTTCTATCAATATTCATTTATTCCCTTATTATTACGTAATCACTTATTGTTTGTGACTGAATACTCATCAAAAATCACTCCATTTGCCTAAGAATAACATGTTTCATATTTCCAATTTTAATTATTCGATTGATTATTTACATTTTAATTTCTAATAATCTTCATGATTGAAATTATTGTTCATCAACCCCCCCCTCCACCACCACCACCACTTGATGAGTATTTTGATTGAACCATAAACCTATAATATTAGTATGGAGCCGAAGACGAAGACTTAATTGAAAAGGAACATATTTCTTCGCTCAATCAGTCCTTTTTCACAATCTCTAAATGGGAATATTCAATGTACTGAAAACAAGATTTACCTGAACGCCTCGATGTGTATGCCCCAGGGGACTATATTAAAACCTACTTTATATCGTGTTTAAATCAGACTCTGTGCTCAGATTCTTCTAGAGTATTTGTAACTACCGTAGGCCGGGTATGTATATCATAAGCTCTGTGACTTAATTTTAGAACTATACGTATGAGATTACTTTTTTCAATCTGAAAAGTATAGTGATTGGCAAAATACAGTAAGTACTAGATACGTTCGGTTCTTAATGTGAGATTTATTTACATAAGATATTAGCAAAAACTGGTGGCGCTTTAAACTCAAAACTAAGGTTTATAGATTATCTTCAGTTATCATTTTCACTTTTATTCAGTCGCATCACATACTCTCTTCTGGACATCATACATTCTAATTAAGATTTCAATGGTCATTCATTTTGACTACAGTTTAGAAATGATATTCTTTGGTTGAATGACATTTTGAATACGAGTTTTCTGTTAATAATGTTCAGAACAGCTTAGAAAGAAGTGATAACATAGACTGCACTTGTGTACTTTTATATTTAGAGTGGAATTGATAAGATTTTTTAGATGAATTGTATACCTGTGGGCTACTAGCTTAGGTACTCAACTTCCAAGTAATGAGTCATGTTTGTTCGCTCAAGGTTTGCGCGGCTAATTAGTATCATCAGCCCCACATATTCTTGATAAGTTACCTAGGTCACTTGGCAGTTAGCTGCAATCGTTAGTACGGTGGTGAACATAAAATCTGACTATATGAAATGTGGGGAAATCACATAATAAATAGTTGGGTGATGGCAAGAATGACAACTTCGAAATCAGCAAGATTCTACACGAAGCAAAGAATTCAAGATCTCCTGCCTAAACCTTGATAAAGAAAATTACTACACGCATTTCCTTTATATAGGATTTTTAGTGCTTCAGTGCTGCATAGCTTTCATGCCCCCATTCTGTTTAAAAGGTTCGCTTACACTCTATAGGGTATTTGTTAGAAATTTTTTTGAATAATCAAACATCCAAAGCTCACAAGATGTTTAACAACCGAGTTGGAGGTATTCTTAAGTCTTTGTTTAATACGTATACTTACTGATGTTTATGAGGGGATTAAGTCAATTCATAGTAGAACGAATAGTCTTTCTAATGAGGCTAAACGAAATCATGAATATATACTGATATGGCTCTAGGCTGTATACTGTCCATTTAACAAAGAACGATAGGCTGTCACATAAATATACTAGATCAAATTCTAATGCAAAGCCTTAACAAATCTTTGCTCTCAATGATGCAATTTTGAAGGCTAGATTTGCTAACATTTGTTGGCTGGGTATGAAAATCCTTGTATAGGGTTTTCTTTTGGTGAGTTAAACTTGACCCAACATGTTTCAAACATTTAATTAGAATCAACAGAGAGATGACTAATTAGAATGCTTGCAGTATTTTACCTGTACTTGCCAACAATATAAATACTTAGTTTGTTAACTAAAAATCTACTACGAGAAAAACTGCAAAAACATGAAAAACGTTATGTTGAACCTTAGATGTTCTACATAAGTTTATCTCAGGTCTAAATAAAAGTTGATAAGATATGAATTAATCTATGGCTAACTCTGATATTTATGTTACAGATAGAAATTATCTGGCTGAATGTGTATCAGTTAGACAGAATTATATCTTAACCCATAGTTAAAGTAGTTTCTGAAGGCGAGAATAATGACTAAGAAGCTACTTCTAAAGGTTTTCATAGCTTGGGCAGGTAACACTTAGAAATAGGGTTGTATTTAAGAAATATTAATGTAACATTCTAATATAGCACTGTGTTTGTCAAGAAATTTTTGAACTGTTAGAGATGGCTGATGAACTTTGGTTTTTTTCAGTCCTTAGTCTATCATAAACGTGAATAAAGGGAATACATCTTAAAATTACTGAAATTGTGTATTGTGGGAATAGTAATCATACATAAACACAATTTTATGGCTTTGAATAAAGAATTGAAATGATTTTTAGCACTAAAAAAAGGTGACGAAAAAACTAACAAGTATGCTTAACCAAAGAAATAAGTAGGCGAAAGAATGTCATATGGTGAATAATGGAAAAATAACCATCCATTATTGTGTTAAACTATTAACAAACCCAATATCAATAACTCATCCTGTAGTTACCGACAAGTGGAACTCTTGAAGTCTCTTTTTATCTTGCCATACCATTCTCTTGAAACTTATGTGCATTCAAGCTACACTGAAAAGTTAACCTGTTAGACAGGTTGTGTGTGACAGTACACTAGTCACCAGACAAATCAATGTTCTAATCAGAGTAAATGCATTAATAGTCTGATATTTATCTGTACTATAAAACAAGTAGTAATGGAATATCGAACACATATTTGATTACAAAAATGTTGAAAGTTTGACTAATTGACTATGCTTTGTTCTTTATTTCAAACTGATAGACTATAAACATCCAGGTCATGGTTGTTACAAATATCCTGGAAGCTGAAGAAGCTATGGCATACACACCAAATTGCAGAACTTGGGATACTGTATTTAAAATATTTTATTTGAAAAAATAATTCTGAAAGTTTACGTCGATGAGTATCATAACCGGTAAAAAAAATTAGTACAAATGAGACGAAAATAAAATAATAAAAACGACTACCATATCATCAGGGTTTATTGTCTTATATCTCCTCTGATATAAGTATAAAAATTGTTTTTCGGAACAGATATTTCACGTTAGACAATTTGTTCTGCATATTCAGACGCTCTTAAAGATTAAAAAGATACAATCGTTAAACCTATACGCCAAAAAAAAAACATCACTTTTCTGAAAGGTCGATTCGTTCCATATGGTTTGAAAATAAGCATTAAAAACAGTCAAAACGAGGTGATTAGTAGTTTCAACTAAAATTTTAAGTCGGAACACCGATACTGAAATATCAATAAAGGCAAGGTAAAAAGAAAGTAAAGGTATGGGTAGCTGATGTTTGATAACCATTGGGAAACATCGCTTAAAATAGACCAGAAAGATAAGTATTGATAGATAAATTTAAGAGATACCATGTTACTAATTTACTATCATGAAAGTTACATTTGAATTGTCCCCATATTAACTCAAACACCTGTCTGCTTTTTATATATGACTGTCTTCAATTATTACCTTTTTAATTTACTTCACTATCTTTCTTTGAGATATGGAAAATAATTTAGTCCCTTTCAACCCACTCATTGAAATTGGACCCTATAGATCAGTGAACCAGAGCACTATTGTCTGTCTCGTAAGCACATTTATACGTTAGCTTTCTTTTTCCTCACAAACGATTCACTGTAAGTTGATAGTGTCTTAAGTAAACAAAATTCACCTAGCGGCAAAAGAAATGGAAGCGTTCTTTATCAGCTAAGGCTTTCAACTTATAAATATCTAGTTATGTACTTGAACTCGATCTCTTTTATCATTTTCATGAGTGGATGTCAAAATAGGCTGTTAAATGGTAAATGAAAGTTTTATGGACACGTTGTAAGAATGCACATTTTTACTGAATGGCATTTAATTTTTACAACTGTATTACGTGGTCCTATTCCTAAAAATTTTCTTGTGAGAAATAATTACTGAAAGCCTAAT